ATACAGAAATTAAATTTCTGACAAGGAACATGTCCCCACTATCACCGACTATGACAGCCTCTGCAACATATATAATGTACGTATATAAATATTATATACGTTGCACATTGCTCAAAAAAACTTAGCGGGTTTTTTATAAATAAAACGTTAGATAATCAAAAACACTAGGAAGCAAGTCAAATGACGAAATATACATAAATAAACACAGATATCGAAAAAATGTTCTTTATTTTTACTAATGTTTACCTAATACACGGCCCAAGAGACACTAAATGTAGAGGGTTTGTTGCAACCTAGGGAAGTTTACTGAATAGAATAATCACAGGAAGGTTAGTAATGAACGATAATACTTAGGACACGAACAACACATATAAGATTCGCCAGCGGCGCGTAGATGTAGTCGACTGCTAGAAGTGAATAAAGTGAATTCCACGATGAATCTCCAACTGCAGAATATCTACCAACCACTCCACGTGCTCAGATTTGGCACAAGCCTGAATTTAATGTGGGGCATCCGTGCCGTAGGCTCGGCCAAAAATTTCCCCGTAAACCTCGTATAAAACGGGGTCGGGTGGCTGTTTCCCGAGACGAGACTCTGCCCTTCGACATAGCCTCGTCTGTGGATCCTATCTGCCCGGAAGCAAAGTGTTTGACCAGCACACCTGGAGACGAATCTCCAACTGAAGAATATTTGCCAACCATCCCATGCGATCACATGTGGTACAAGGCCGAATTTTACGTGGGATATCCGAGCCCGTAGGCTCGAGCAAAAATTCCCCATAGACCCCGTAAGAAAAACGGGGTCGGGTAGCTGTCTTCCACCCCAGACAAGGTTATGCCCTTCGGGATAGCCTCGTCTGGGTTCCTCTCTGCCCAAAGGCAGAGAGTTCGACCAGCACAGCAGGAGACAGTATTTAGTACAGAACTTATGTAAATGGAGACATACCCATTATCGTCCGTAGGTATGCTACAGTAGGGTTACTGGGTGGTGTCGTATGAGCATGAGGAAGGGCAAGAAGTTCTTGGGGGATATGCAAGAAAGATAACAGCTAACTCTAGGCTTGAAGAGGTCAGGACTTAATTATTGAATAACATTCCTGAGTGCAAGCGAAGATGTTAAAAGTATAGAGCGGAAGTATAACAAAAAATAAACAAAAAAATAATAAAATAAAAAGTAAAACCAAAATTAAAAAAAAAAACTGAAACAAAAAATGTAAATATAAAACTGGATTTAAGCCGAAAGTCTTTATTTATAACAAACAATAAAATAATTTATACTAAACAATCAATTGATAGTTCATTTTCTAAGCATCTTATATTCAATTAATATCAATTTTATTTTCCTTTAAAGGCAGCTATTCAATACTCATTGAAATGATAGTTTGTCGTGTATCCTCAAATTTTGGGAGGTTGTTCAAATTCTAGCTGATTTTGACGTTACTGTATTTTTGTGCCCAGTAACAGGTCTCTTCTGTCATTTTTTTTTCACTGCCCGGACAAGTCACGCCTATGTTGTGCCTTACTTCACGTCTCAGTCAATTTGCACATACAAAAAAAAAATCTAGAAAAATCTCGCTGTACGTTCCACTAGGGAATAGATGTGGTAATCAGCGTCACGTCAAGAAATGAAAACACGAATCCTGTTTTCAATAAGCTGATTGTTTATCCACTGGCAGAATTTCGAGACTGACATATTATCCTCTCCGTGGGTGGGGTGATATCGGTGTCAACGAGGCCACTTCACTTCTTTCTACTTCCGTCGTGTGACTGTTACCTATGACAGCTCCTCTCTCCAGCACTCTAATCGGGACTCTACCTATATAAAGCTGCAAGCGGATTTTTAAAACTTCCGATTTGTTGGCACTTGTTCTCAAATTTTTTTTTTTTTTTTTTACCAATTATCTATTTTTTATTCTCTTTTTATCAAGTAGTTGGTTGTTATTGAAGAACTCATTTAGCAGACTTTAATGCCGGTTACAAAAAAACTATCGATACTTCAGATTCAGATAATATCGTTTCTATCCCAATTTTTTCATACGTGCGGGGAACCTATTGTGTTTCACTTCCACTAAGCATTGAGGTTAATTCTTCTTGTCCTGTCCATTTCTCAGACATCTACTGCATCACATTATCACAAACACCCTACAATTATTTAAAAAAAGCCGTGTTCCTCCAAAAGATGATCTGCATAGATTCTTTTTTAAAAAAAAAAAAAACTTATGCGTGAATTGCCATGACTTCTTGAGAAAGATTGTAAGGTGGTTTCCTGTTGATTTTCCTATGGTTCTATTCAGACAGAGCTTTCTTAAGAGCTGCTGCTTTGCGCAACAGACTCCCGAGTGGATACTTCCCCGATCACTACAATCTTAACCTCTTGAAGTCAAGCATCCTACTGTCGGACTTATCTCTTCTTAAATTTTGAAACTACCAATTACGGGAGCTATAGATTTTCTATATATACACTTGACTAAACACTGCCTCGTTATCCCTTTTTTTAATATCATTTTTCAGTGGATACAACAGCAATGTAAGCTCTCACAGAAGAAAGCGTTCACCCTTGTGGGAAACGCCATGAACATTACACACATTCACGCACACGTACGTACGAACATCAACATTCACTCACACATACTTTGAAACGCAAACGTACATGTTAATGTCTTTATCCTTTGTAAACCCTTTTGTTGTTAATACACATAATTGTTTTATATATATATATATATATATATATATATATATATTTCGATTATAGGTGCAGTTCATATCATTCATATACAGGTTCGGGGTTAGTGTACCTTATTGAAATTGTTTGCGAAGATGTATTCTCGCCATTTAAATCATTAACCTCTATATTTGTTTTTTGTATTAATGATTCATGTAATTATATATATATATATATATATATATATATATATATATATATATATATATATATATAAGAGAGAGAGAGAGAGGGAGATAGATAGATAGATCAGTCTTTGTTATTTTCTTTTAAATTTCTTTTGGTGGACTCATTGCAACTCTGCCATATTTGTAGTGGGCCCTATTTCAGGAGGTACACGTGTTCATGCACTACGCGTACAAACACCCGGCCCTCTACTACGCATCCTCAAAACCAGCACTTAATTCTTCCTGTTACGTACATTTAATAATCCTCTACCTTGAGTGGCGTTTGGGTTTTATATTTGGTGAAGAAAATTTGGTGAAAGAATGATGAAACGCAACGCACAAAATCTAAAAATAAAGACATGGTTAAAGAAACTTCGCAACAAATTCATAAAATAAAAATGAAAAATCTTATCCAGGACTTAATATAGTAATCGACTGATTTAATTTCACTGGCAAGGCCTTTACACTGAAAAACATTAATAATGTCTGCATATCTGGCCCACGCGGTGATGTGGCGGGAAATAATAGCTCCCACCCAACTCTCAAGGAAATGAATACTTCTCGACACCTTAGCGTATTAGGAGCTGACTGTTATTTCTACCTGAGCAGCTGACAGTATAGAGGCATACATTTACGTCCATATCTCACCAACAACACCTGCCCAGGAGTGTGGCCAGGATATTTATTGGGGGATCACGTGCGCTTTGTCCTTTTTATCCGATCGTCTTGCATGGGCATCTCCCGTGTCTCGCTCAGGGATTTTAATGGCCTCAGAACAAGTGGGGGCGTTGAGCAACATTGTACAACATTAAGAACAACAGGTCTCCGATCGCCATCTCGTGCAGATAATAATATACGTGAACTGGTGCAAGTTTTAACCATCAGTCAACTAGCCGTGTTTCTCTTTTCGTTCTTTTCAAATATTTATAACCCGAATGCAAATGAGAACCCCCAACTCTCTCAAAAGTACGCCATTTTTTCTTTTTCGTCTCTGTGTCATGTCCCAGAATCATTCAGAGACGCTGCTAGAAAGAGTAATCCAAAACATTCCGCTGATGTTCAAACCACAGCCGATATCTTCCAACTTGAAGAATTCGACTTGGTTGCCGTTTATTCCATCAAAGAACCCCCTGACCTTCGACATCAGTCTAGGTTACCCTAGACACCCTACTATCACAAAACTGGCTGCATATATCTTCTTGAAGAAACAGCGATTAGGAGAGTTAGAGGATAGAAAGTTGTGGAGAGCCATGATCGCCCAAGTCCTGAACGGATGGCACATAGAAGAACGTGCTTGTATGAATGCTTGACAGAAAAGCGATTTGGGGTGTTAAAGAAAAGACAAAAATTTTCTAAAATCTACTTAGGATAGGAAACTGCGGAGAGCCATGATCGCACACGTCCTGAAAGGATATGGCTCATAGAAGAACGCGCTTGTGTAAATGGTTAACAGAACGGCGATTAGGAGAGATAGGAAAAAGATTAGGAAATTGTGGAGAGCTATGATCGTCCACGTCTTGAACAAGTATAGCACATAAAATAACGTGCTTGTATAACTTGCTGACAGAATATTGATTAAGATTGATAGAGAAAAGACACAATTTTCTAAGAGCTGCATAGGATAGGAAATTGTGGAGAGCCATGATCGTTCACGTCCAGAACGGATAGCATATTTTGGCAATTTTCTATCCTTTGTAGCTCTAAGTAAATTTTGTCCTTTTGCAATCTCTTTCCTTTTCTGCCAATCATTTACACAAGCTTTTTCTTTTATGTGCCGTGTCCATTTAGGACGTGGGCGATAATGGCTCTCCACTATTTCCTATCCTTTGTAGCTCTAAGTAAATTTTGCCTTTCAGCTAAGCATTTACATAACGTGCTCGCTAGTTAGGTTATGCGTTGTTTTCTTCCCTTATTCTCCATGCCTTTTATCGGTCTTGTGAGTATCATATTTTCAAAACACTCTTTCCTCTTTATTTGCCCAAGAAAGTTCGACTTTCTCTTTCTGGTGTTAAGTGTAAGTTTACATTGTTTCTATTTCTCTAGAACTTCATCATTGCCCACATGTTCAGTCCACAGTATTCTCAGCATCCTTCTGTAGAACCACTTGCTTCTTACGGCCACATCAAATTGAAACACCGGTTTTCGTACGATCACCGAAGTTAAGCAACGTCGAGTCTGGTCAGTACCTAGATGGGTGACCACTTGAGAATACCAGGTGTTGAAAGCCTTGTTGGGCAGTTGTTGAAAAGGAAGGCCAAGTTTCAATCCTCGTTGGTTTCGTTATATTCCCTTACACGCAAATACCCTTGAGAAGGAATTCGACAGTAATTAGAATGACGATTACCTTAGAAATGCAATGCCTTCAGTAGTAAAATCGTTAAAATTATTACTCTTATAAAAATATTCAATATATATATATATATATTTATTAAAGACATTTTTATGTTTAACGTTCTTTTTATAGATACAAGTATTTAAGTAAATGCTCTGTTTATAATAAACAGTATTAAATAACATTTACCGGCCTGAATGTCCGAGAAATTTTCATAGAAAATATTCGTTCTTTGACAGGATTCGAACCTGCATCCTATACGGAACCGTCATTTACGCTGACGTGCCTTACCGATCGGCTTTGTCCATTTCTTAATATATGACGTCATTTGTTTGCATTTGATACGCCAGAGCAGTTATGAATGTACGAGATTCATGGAAGATTGAAGCTTATAAGCAGTAAATTCGACCTTGTCTACCGAACGCTTCTTTGTGGCCGATCGGTAAGGCACGTCAGCGTAAATGACGTTTCCGTATAGGATGCAGGTTCGAATCCTGTCAAAGAACGAATATTTTCTATGAAAATTTCTCGGACATTCAGGCCGGTAAATGTTATTTAATACTGTTTATTATAAACAGAGCATTTATTTAAATACTTGTATCTATAAAAAAGAACGTTAAACATAAAAATGTCTTTAATAAATAAATTGTCGGACTTTGTCCATTTCTTAATATATATATATATATATATATATATATATATTCATGTGTGATTGTTTAAAATTTACGATATCCATAGGTAAGTTTGTGGGAGATAAAATGTTTACAGATAAAATACATAAATATTCAAATAACGAGTGGTTGGAAAATCGCGACGGTCGGAAGAAGGTCCACCGACGTAGATTTATTTTACAGCTTAACAACCTTTTTCAGGTTATTTAAAGCCAGGAAATTTTTTAAACTGCAAGATTTTTTAGTAGGGTGGATAATAATGATTTACGGATACAAGTACAACTGATTAACCCATAGCTGGGGGGAGTGTGAATTCTTATCGTTTGCAAGGGTATTGGCGTATAAGTAAATATAACAAACCCGACTGGAATTGGATCTCGTCTCTCCGATGACTAACTCCGTGCGGTTATTCATCATCCAGGCCGCATATCCAAACCTGCAGTGTCTGGTATTCCCAAGGGATCACCACTCTAGGTATCTTCTAAGCTCGATGTGTGCTCAACTTCGGTGGTTGAACAAGAATCAGTGATTAAACGTGATACGGCCCTAAACCAAAACGACAGAATACCAGGTTACTATTTTTATCATTCTGTTTTGCTTTTCGGTCATATTAAAATCCAGATTATCATAAAACCACTTATCATTTGTAATTATGAAGGATAAAATGGTCACTTGTACAGTGTCATGTGACTATTAAAAGTGGATTCGTCTAAGTGGGTTTAATGCGTTTTTTATTTTTTATAATTGACTTTATTGGTGGATTTTACATTTCTTGGATTATTCAGTTTTGAAATCAGTTCTATCTAAATATTTTTAGCATTTGCTTTGTTTGGTTATAGATAAATATGGATCGTTTATATCTGAGTCTATAAGAATTTAATTGCTTTGGGATAGGCCAATATTGGCCATTCTTATTTGGTTCTGTAAGCATTTTCTTTACAGTTTACTCGAGAATAGGTAAATATTGGTCGTTATATTTAAGTCTTTAACAATTTAATTGGTTTGGGGATAAGTAAATATTGGTCTTTCATATTTAAATCTATAAGCATTTATTTGGCTCGAGTCAGCATTTACGTGATTCAGGGATAGGTAAATATTGATTGTTTTTATTTGGGTCTATAAGCATTTATTTGGTTAGGTTATAGGTAAATATTGGTCGTTTATATGTGAGGTCAAAAGCATTTATTTTGTTCGAGGGGAGGTTAAATATTAGTTGTTTATAATTGAGTCTGTAAACATTTACTTGAAATATTGACCCTATTTACAAATACCATATTTTCTGCAGTTACTGGCATTGGCGTGTTCTGCAAGAAGACCGTCATTATTTTACTCATATTTACTTATAAAGACAGCCATCAGATCCTGAAGAAGGCCGGAGCGTACAACGGCTGTCTAGATCATTGATGGATGTTTTAAATATTCTTTTAAGAATAAAACGTTCTTAAATCAATATCTCAAGAAAATAACCCCCAAATCCCAACAGATTAAAATAAAATTAAAATCTCAGCATCAAAAGCTCAACGATATCCTTTAGCTAATGTCTTGGCTGATTTGTTTTTTACGTCTTATCAACCCTTTGCAGGTTATTTAAAACGATTAAATATTTTTGGAATGTAATAATTTTTTGGAGCTAATATTGATTTTACTCATACAATTCATACTATTTAACCCATAACTGAGGGGGGGATATGGATTCATACCTTTACCAAGGGTATGGGTTCGTAAGTGAATATAATGAATACGGCTGGATTTAGAAATCGGCTCTTTGATATACCAATTCCAAGACCATATCCATTACACCACTCGCACATCCAATTGTTCAGCTCCTGATGTTCCAAAGCGGTCACCCAACTAAATACTAACCAGAATCGACGTTGCTTAACTTCGGTGATTGGAAGAGAATGTAGGACTGTAGTACTGAGGTCTTAATTATTATCAGTACGGCTGAGACAATATGTGATCAGAATATTGGTTAAAACATGTAACCCATTACCAAACAAAACTTTCAATGGTTCTCCGACAGCTGAAAGCCAATGATTAAAATGGCGACTGAAGTCGTGGATATATTGACAGATTTTATTTGATGATAAGTCTTGTTGTTACTAAAATAAATCTTACTTCAGAATATACTGTAATTATTTGGAACTGTTGAACTGATCTTAGTTTTTATAGAAGTTATTATAAAGACAACGTTTCAGCCAAGTACCCTCTGGCCATTATCATGTGTCTTTTGTTTTGGCTTCTGTGGAACATCCGTTGATTATTGTCATAGAATGTCGGTTCTTATTCGTTCATGCTGAATCAATGCTTCACATTGTGATCTATGGATTGATGAGGCTTTCTGGTCTTATTAAAACACAATACATACTAGCTTATATCAGTAATATATTTACTAAAGTAAATAGAGCCACAGAAACAAGCTCAGATAGTTTTATATAAAGCAAACATTGACGTGCAATAGATAGAGATTAAAAAGGAGTATATACATTCACCTCTTGTCCTGTTTACACACCTCCCCGATCATTTGAGCAGGACTAGAGGTTTACACCTTGTTTCTTGTTCCTTCTAATGTCGATTTCAAATCTATACTTCTAACGTCTCCGCCTAAAATCGGAAGTTTTATTTTCTATTTGTTTACTTTTACTTTCGTTTTCCTCAATAGGAAGTCGATAGGTTCGCCTTTCGTCTTGTTCACACTCTTCCCCGGTTTTTGGACCAGGAGAAGAGGTTTGTTTCCTGTTTAGGATTGGGTTTCTGGTTCCTTCTAAAGTCTTTTCATCTTTTTTTCTATTCTCAGTACCTCCTTGCGTCTTAATGGTATTATTACCGTGCTTGGGGTGATTTGGTTAAGTAAAAAGATATACGCTAAATCGAATTTTACGACACGAATCTATGTTTCCACAAGTAGATTGGTATTAACAGATCGATGTTGGTAAAACCAACCGATGTTGGTAAATTTTTCGCAACATGCTTATATATATATATATGATTCAACTTATAATCTTAAACATTTTAATATCACTTTACAAAACACTTTTATCTACCCTGTGAATAAAAGCGTTGGTAGAATCCAGTGACTTGATCCAAAGAGTTGTGAGTTCAATACCTGGCTATTGCAGTAGTGGGCAAAAGCTTGGAGAATTGAGTTAAAGAGGCATGGCACATGGAACTAGAACAGTATACTCCGGTGGACGAAATAAAGGTTTCGGTTCAAAATTCCAATCACCTGAAGAATGCCTGAGCGCACAACGGCTGAAATGTCGTGAACATGTCAATAAAGACCAGTCTGTACAATGTAAATAATGTAAATAATTACAATACCTCATGTCAGAAATATAGATTTACTGAAGGAAGCCCTAGCGTACAACGTTCGAAACGTCATGAACATGACAATAACTATGAAGACAACAGCGCAGTCAATGTAAATAATATAAATAATTGCAATACCTCATCTCGGAAATATAGACAGTCTTTAATAATTGTTTGTCAGTTTTTTATTATGTAAAAAAAAAGTTTTCTCGCACTTCGCACCTGTGGAGCTTTCTTTCGTTTCCTTGATTCCCTGATAACAACAATACATCATCAATCGCCATATGCTTTAATCCAGTTCATCTGTTGTTCTTTCCTTAATCCTCTGTATTCTCAATTTTCTCTTTCACTTCCTGTACACACCCCCCCTGAGTAGTTGTGGCAATCCCACCTTGCTTGGGGTGAAATGATTAAAAAAAATGTGCCATACAACTTTTAATTCAGAAATAAATCCAAAATAACCTTCGATTTCATACAAATACAAAAGGATATGTACTTATGCTTTGTAGATTACACAAAAGCATTTGACAGTTTCCAGCACAAAGATCTATTTGAACTGCTAGGAAAAAAATTGGAATAATCCAGAACTTATAGTGGGAGAAAACCGACAGAATTAATGATAAAAAGCGCAAGTGACAAGGTTGTGTCGTCTCCCCAGATTTGTTCAAATTCTATTGCGACACTATCCTAAAGGAAATGGAGATCCTACCAGGATTTATTATCAGTGGACGTAATCTTAAAAATATTAGATACACAGATGACACAGTTTTGATGGCTGACTCGGAAAGGAAACATTATAAAAATTAAGCAAGGAACAGAAAACGTTGGTCCATAAAGAACGGATTGCTGGATTACTAAGTAATGTTTATTCACTTATATGGCAGAGAATCCTGGACAATCTTCCCACGGATGA